GCCTGCAGAGGCGGAGGTGCATTTGTCTGTTGAAAATAGCGACAAGCCAATGTCTGTTCCAGAATCAAAGCCACTATGCAAATCAGTCTCAAGAAGAAAGATGAGCAAACCTTTTAGGTTTTTGTGGAAGAGCAAAAGCTATTCTGTTTACCAGTGTTAAGTCCCACGGTGCTGTAAATTTCTGTTGTATCATCTTTTCATTTCCTTTGTTCTCTTCTTATGGGCATTCCTAGTTATTCTTTTTTATTCTCTTTTCTCAAAGAGCAGAATGTACAGGCCCCTGTAATCTATGGATTTTGGTTTACTTTTCTCTTTCAGGTAGGAATACATGTATTATGTTTATCATAATTCAAGTGGTTAGTTTTAGTATAAAGCTCTTCTACTATTTTTATCATACTTGCTTGGTTGTTTTGCTCATAGGGACTGAGACCATACGAAAGATATGGAAAAGTTGTAGTCTGCAATATATTTTAATGAAATCGGAACATAAATTATTTGAAGGAAAGGGAATTTCTCAAGTTATTCAACTGAAGGTGGAGATTATTTTCCATTTCTCTATATATTAGCTCCTTGTTTTCCAGGCATTATTTCTCTTGTTCATGGACTTCTTTTGTTTCTTCAACATTGACTCCTGCATTACTGTCCATCTGTTTCTTGTTCTTGAGGAATGCAACAAGTCCTCCAAGCACCGTATCGGTGTCTTCACTTTTCATGAGTTCTTCCGCAATCTCTGCGGGAGTCACCTCCACCTCCCTAATGGATGCTTCAATTTTGTCAAAGAAACGGTGAGTTTTTATTCCGAGGTAGTTTGAAGCAAGGATCTTGAATCCCCCTGGTGTACAGTAGGACATGTGAATGTGCATATCCATGCGGCCTGGTCTCAACAATGCAGGATCTAGTTGGTCCTTGTAGTTGGTCGTAAACACGATTATCCTCTCATCTCCACAGCTTGACCATAACCCATCAATGAAATTCAGCAACCCAGATAGAGTTAACTGTAAAAAGGAGAGCTTAATTAATATAAAATCAGTCAGAAATTACTTGCATGAAAAACTTGTTGCTCTTGGTCCTTACCTGGCTGTCATTGGGGTTGCCGCCTCCAAATTCTCTGTCCTTCAATTCGATGCTACAATCAATATCCTCAATTACCAGTATTGATCGGTTTGCAGTGGAGACTAACAGCCTCCTGAGCTCGGAGTTGCTACGCAGATGCGTAAGCTCCAAGTCATAGATGTCAAACTTGAGGTAATTAGCCATGGCTGCAATCAAGCTAGACTTCCCTGTACCAGGAGGGCCATACAACAGGTACCCACGTTTCCATGCCTTGCCTACTCTCCTGTAAAACTCTTTTCGCCTCACGAACCTGTCCAAGTCATCAATCAACTCCTCCTTAAGCTTTGGATCCATTGCCAATGTGTCAAAAGTAGATGGATGATCAAAGATGACCGATCCCCAGGGACCTGCATTATACTCTTCATTAAAGTTCCCCAGAGCATGAAGCTTAACCACTTTTCTTTCTTCTTGTATGGCGTTTGACCTGTCTACAACATATGGCAGATAAGTGCTCAACACCTTCTCTCTGTATGTCTTATGGAAGCTGAGCTGAATTGACCTGTGCTCAGACACTTCTGTTGAGGAAGAATAGTCTTCATAGTCATGATGTGTGCTCTTGGTTTCAGTACAACAGAATTCCCATCTCAACTTGATTCCTTCGAATTCATCGATAAGCTTTTCGCCTCTGTTGATGGTAACAGAGAAGTTGTTCTGGCTTGGAGCCTTGGAAACCTTAAGCTGTTCAATTGAAGGGGCGATCCTTGTGCTTAAGTAGATTTCTGAGGCCTGGTAAATCTCATTGACAGAGAGGCCACTGCGTTCATCAATGATAAGAGTCATTTGAGAGTTGGGAAGATTACCCAAAAGGCCTCCAATTGTGGCAAGGATTTTGTCTTGGAGTTTTTGGGGAATGAACTGGCTGGTTATGGTCTGGACCTCATTGATCACTGTCCTGAGCAGCATTGCTCCTGCAGCGAAGGTGGTGTAGGTTGATAGGACTGATGTTGTTGAAGGCATGCTTGTTAGAGAAAACATCTTCAATTGTGAAATAATTGTGAGGGAATTGTAATGAAAAGGAGGCTTTTTGTGATTGCTGGCTTGTTGAGTTGAGTTGGAAATTGAGGTAAAGGGATTTTATAGAACACAAAATGGGAAATCCAGCTTCCACTTGAAGCTGTTTGAGTAGATATACTAAGTTGATGCTTAAAATATTAGCAAGCTTTCCCCGAACTTTTCAAACCTGGTCAATGTTCCAGATGAGAGGAACAAGCTTCTCAAGCAATTTTCAAAAGAATATTACGTCTTTTATTTATTGTATGTACCTGGCCAAAGCCCCAATCTTTCTCTATGGGAACAGCCCAATCAGTTATGAATAAACTCTTGTTTTTTGAAGCCCAAGAATTCCAACCGGGTTAACCTATTTTTGGGTCCCTGAAGAAGAAACCCCCAAAATGAAACAAATTCTTAGTTCAATAGGCTTATGCAAATCGTCACTAACCTAACAACCTGAAGCAAGTCAAGACCTTTTTCTATTGAGATAAACTCATCGGCAACGATTTTTTATTATTCGAAAATTATTATTATTATTTATTTACAGTAGGCTTATACGTAGAAAAGACGAGGCTACTAGTCCCTCCAAATTCCAAGAGGAGTAGCGTCGTAGTTTGGCCACGACGAAAATGGTACAATCTGAGTGGCCAATTGAATTAATCTCATTGTTAGTGATTGCATTGGCCTTTATATAAAACAAATAGCTGCCTAATTAATCGACAAACAAAAAATTAAATTAAAATAGCTACCTAATTCACACTAGTTGAGGCAATTATCCAATGCCTTGTTGACACGTGCCTAACAGCAAACAATAATTGCTATAGAACTGAGTGGAACGTGAGAAAAGTACAGCAACCAGAGAGAGGAGTAATTTTTGGGTGTTCCGGGGTACACCAGGTGGCTGGTGTACCATCCTATAGATGGAGGACATATGAAATATTTCCAATGCAGTCCGCCACATGTAATAAAAAGAAATGTAGTAAGTTAAATAATAATTCCACATGTCTTATGTTTATTGAATAGTACACCAGCCACGTGGTGTACCTGGAACATATAAAGAGTAATTTTTGGGTGTTCCGGATACACCACGTGGCTGGTGTACTTCACGTTAACAATTATTTAGGACGTCGAAGGTGAAAAGGTTTATGCTCTCCCTTAACTTTTGTTTCTGTCTGCAATTACAACCAGAGAGAGAGAGAGAATGGATTTCTTGAGTTTTTGTATGGTCCTCCTAACCAGTCTTTTTTGTGTGTTCTTGTTCTCAGTTCAAGCCCTCAGAAGCAAAGCCAACCCCAAAAAGCATCTTCTTCCACCTGGACCAAAGCCACTTCCTTTCATTGGAAATCTCCTAGAGCTTGGAAACAAACTCCATCTCGATTTCACTAAGCTTTCTCAAATCTATGGCCCCATTATGACTCTGCAACTCGGCCAAGTAACAACGGTGGTTGTTTCTTCGTCAAACACAGCCAAACAAGTCCTCCGAACCCATGACCAATTCTTGTCCAACCGAACCGTGCCAGATGCAATCAAAGCCAGTGACCTTCGCGGAGACAGCCTGCCCTGGATACCAACTTCACCCAAATGGAGAAGCCTTCGAAAAATATGCAACTCTCACTTGTTCGCCCCCAAAATCCTCGACGCCAACCAACCCAGCCGCCGCATGAAAGTGCAAGAGCTCATATCTGATGTCAATGAAAGCTTGGTCAAAGGTGAGGCGGTAGATATTGGAAGGGCCGCTTTCAAAACGACGCTCAATCTGCTGTCGCGTACTATCTTCTTTGTGGATTTGGCTGACGCAAGTAGCGAGATGGCCAGAGAGTTCAAGGAGACTATGTGGGGTTCGATGGAAGAGGCAGGGAAGCCAAACTGGGCTGACTTTTTCCCTGTTCTTAGGAAAATTGACCCCCAGGGAATTAGGCGGTGCATGATCAAACATGTCCAGAAGATAGAACAGGTCTTTGACCGCATCATTAGCCAAAGATTGGAATCTAGAAAAGCCCATGATTATGTCACAACCAATGATATGTTGGATACTCTTTTGAACATCAGTGAAGTGAACAGTGAGGACATGGACATGACCAAACTTCAACATCTGCTTCTGGTTAGTTTTTACTTTTTTTTGGTTTTTACTTGCTCGGTCATTACAATTTGTTATACCATTAATTTTTGTGACTTATTATGTGAATAGATTCTATTTACTGCGGGCACAGATACAACCTCAGCCACGTTGGAATGGGCAATGGCTGAGCTGCTACGCAACCCTGAAAAGCTGTCAAAAGCTCAACAAGAGCTGGAGAAAATCATTGGCAAAGGAAAACCAGTAGAGGAAGGAGACATTGCTTGGCTTCCTTACTTCCTGTCTGCCGCGCAGATCTCACGGCCTGGAGTTCCGGGCTGAGGGGATGTGCGTTAACACGGGGTTTCCTGCTTTTTGGGTGCGGTGCGGTTGTGCGCGGGCGCGCCAGCACGGTCTACCGTGCGTTGATGTTTTGATGAGTGTTGGATGGATGAGTGGTGCGCCTGTTTGATCTGTCTTCCTAGTCAAACGATTGTAGCCGAGAGAGGAACTGGTCTCGGCTGTTAGGTTCACGGCCTGAACTACAAGGCCGTTGAGTGATGGTGTTGGTGGTGGGTTTTGGGCGGTGCTCCGGCGCCTTGAAAATCAAGGGTCGTATGATATATTGATGAATGAATTTTCCTTACAGTCTAACACTACTCCTAGGAAAGCAAGTAAAGATATTGAAAGTTCATTACAGGAAAAAAATAAGTTGCTCCGTGGGAGGCTTTGTTTTGGTGTTGAACCCTTTGAATGTAGCTCGAGTCTTGTATTTATAGGAAGAGTCCCTGGATGAGTAATCGAGGCTGAATTTACGCGTAGTGGAGTCTGATTAGCGCAAGTGGGCAGTCCAATCGACATTTGGGATCGTGAAGCATGGTGGTGAGACCCCAGAAATCCCGGTGAATCTCGGCCGCCACCCTTGATCGTGGGTTCTGAGCCTCTGGCCGTGGAGACGCATTTATGGCCTGGATAGCTGGTGAACCAACATCTCAGGCTGTCAGAATTCTTGTGAGAATGTTCACGTCTAATCACTCTGATCTTCATCACCAAATCTTGACTTCAGTCACTTCCCACCTTCCCTCATGCATTAGATGCTTCTTTGTGGCCAATGGGTTTGCTGCATTAAACAGGCACTACTTCATTAAATGAAGCCTGGGACCCTGCTGTCACGTGATGATTTGCCTTTAATGCCTTGGCCGCAATTTTGTTCGGCCTCGGCCTCGGCCTACGCTTGAGGCCGAGATGACCATGCCTTAGCATTTCTTCTTTTATTTTTAGGAAGGCGAAATACCCTGGCGAAACGCTGCGCTTCAGCTTCTGCGAACAAGTGCCAGGGCCGAGAGAAAGGGCTCATTCGGCCAGCTCATGGCCGTGATTTATCAGGCACAAACACTTCCAAGCAATAATCAAGGAGACCTTTCGGTTGCACCCAGCAACTCCATTGCTTCTCCCTCACAAAGCCGATTCAGACGTTGAAATCTGCGGGTATATTGTACCCAAGGGTGCACAAGTGTTTGTGAATGCATGGGCCATTGGCAGAGACCCCAGCATTTGGGACAACCCAAGCTCATTTGTGCCTGAGAGGTTCTTGGGATTGGATGACCAAATTGATGTTACTGGGAAAAACTTTGAGCTTATCCCATTTGGTGCTGGGAGGAGAATATGTCCTGGCTTGCCATGGACAATGCGAATTCTGCCCTTGATGTTGGGTTCACTCATTAACTCTTTTGAATGGAAGCTCGAAGATGGGGTTTTACCAGAGACCTTGAACATGGAAGAGAAGTTTGGCCTCACCTTGCAAATGGCTCACCCTCTTAGAGCTGTGCCCAAGTCATTTTGTGAAATTTAATGGACTCTATATTGTTGGATTTTATGCAAGAATTGGAGAAGAGAGACCGTGACATATATTTGTGATAGACTCTGTGATTTGTGTTTTCCATGTACCTCGATTGTGTTTCCTAGGTACTTAGAATTGTGGACTGCCTTGGCATTAGGGAGGCTTGTCTGCCGCCTTGCATTAGGGATCTTGTCTCCCTTGTTTGTATCTGTACTCGGTATTCTATAAATATAATGAAATCCCACAGCTCAAGTAACCAAGTGAGTGTGGCTTTGCTCATAATCTTTCAAATAACAAGTACTTGGGTTTCTGATAATTTTATGATATTTGATAACTTAGTTAAGAGGTTTTTTTTTCCTCTCTTTGATACATATAAATTAGTTGTGTAGTATACACTCTGTACAGTGTACACACACCAATCTTTACCACCTAAAGTAAAAGCTGGTAATATCCAAGCCTACAAATATCTAGCCTTACAAAATACCAGAAGTAACTTGGATTCCTAAAAGCAACTGCAGATAAAGTCTCTACCAAAAGGTTTCTCCACAAAGTTAGCCTTTGAGATTATCTTGCATGTACATTCATTGTAGTTAAATTTGTCATTTTATTTATGAAACAATCAATTTTTGGATGAACAATCGATGGAAAGTGGTTTTGTGAAAACAATTTGAAACCTCACGAGGTGTTCGTATAATTTCTAAAGCCTCATGGAGTTTGTGAAAACACCGAAAACCTCATGGAGTTTGTGAAAACATTGAAAATCTCATGGGGTGTTACTGTAAATTACTCTTTATAATTTCCGCTCTATCAAAGAATATATTGTTAAAATATGAAACATAGTTGTATTAACCTTTTAGTGTAATAACCATTCATTATATCAGCACGAAAAAATCTTTTTTCGTATCTTTATTTATGATTTCTTTTCTTCTTTTCTTTTTCTGATTCATTAAATCTTAATATGTGCTAAGTTCAAATCTCACGCACATAAGTTCGTTGTATTATTAGATACTAGTAATCTGGCAATAACAACTTCTATTGGATGTGAGGTAGTTATTACCAGAGAAGTTGAGAATAAATTGCCCTCATTAC